TCTTTCAAGCTCTAACTTACTATAAAATTAAAGTTTGCAGTTACTGTTATTAACATATTTTGAAAAAAAAGTGTTGTTTTCTGCTTTTTTTTTTTTTAATAACCCATTGCTAAATACAGGTGTTTCAAGCAGACTTCATGTCAACTGTGAGGTAGATTGTTAAACACATACTTGAAGTGGGAATGCTATTGTGAAATAAAAAATAGGGAAATACTAATAAATATATGCGGGTATTTCATTAGTGGCAAATATTTCTAGTGAAACTACAAAAATTGATAAAATCTATGCGATTAGTGAAAAATTCTGTATGTCGTATGAACTTACGCTATCTGAAAACATGTTCTCACCTTTGATTTTCCTAGGAAAAAAATGCTTATTTCATATTGCAAGTTATTTATAAAATTAAAAATGTAGGTGCACATTTAGTTTTAATATAAATAACAATACAGATATAGTGACGGAAGAATGAAATTGTTTTCATGCTGATAATCGGTATTGCTCTTTTACCCATATATGCATACCTATTTATTTTGGTCTTTTGTATTTTTCTGATGTGGGATTTGGAAAGGTTTTGTAAGGTGATTGCTGGTTTTTGTATGCTATGCATTACATGAAAGATAACATCAAATAGGTGTGCCTATGGGAGAAGCTTCTAGAAATAGCCATGTGTTAGAGAGACAGTATGAAAGGTCTTTTCTGCCCTGGAGTAGCATATGGTTAGAAGTGTTGAAAGCTATAAATAACTAACATTTTTGCATTTGACAGCAAGTTCTCCACACATCAAAGAAAATTATTAAAAAGTTCAAGAATCATTTTTGATGATTCAACAGAGGAAGCTGAAAAACTAAGAATCAGCAGCACTTGCACAATTTTTTTACCTAGTCATTTCAAGTTGAACTACAGATATCCTCAAGTAACAAGATTGTTTCTTTCCCCTCTCGAAGTAATAACAAGAACTGACTGAGAGGAAAGCAGAGATCCAGATTTATGCAGTGAAAATGCATGGCTATAGGAACCAGGAAACTGCATATGAACACGAAGGGAGTTTAGCACCTGTCAGCTTTTTTGTGCCTGCTTTCTTCTGTGCCTTCACAGACAAATATTTGCATGTATCTGTTTTATTTAGTAAATTTAGCATCTGGCATGACAAAGATCACACGCACTTACTATGTATCTACTAAATTCCTTCTGATTTAGTGAGTGACATCTGAAAAGGTATTTACATGGCTGATGCCTCATTGGGTAATAAATCATGATCCGTTTAAATCTTTTTGTTTGTGGCAAAATGAAATGAGACAGACAGTCACAGCATAGTTATGTTTGTTTTCATGTAGGCCAAAGGATCCCTATACTATTCCTTTTCCAGCTTTCAGTGATTTTCAATTGAGCACTCTTATTTGATGTAATTAGCTGTTTTGAGAATGGTGGGGACATACAGAGGATGGTTGACTTATTAGAGAATTTCTGTGGAGAGTGAGTGGTGTGTGAGGATGTTTTCAATGTTTGTACCAGTTCTGAATCCATGTCTGCGAGAAACTGGCGTATGATGAACATGCAGAGTAGCACAATGAAGTGGGCCAGAAGCGCTGTAGACAGAAGTAAGGAAGTAAAAGTAGTTATAGTGTGTCTTTTGAGTACTGCACACTGTTTCACACCACAAGAGAAGCGTCAGCAGAAGTCTGAATACCTAAAATAAATTAAGAGGTTGGTTTATAAATTAAGGAAATGGGGCAGTTGTGGAAACTGACTTCTCACTTGCTCTTTTGTTTTCTTTATCTTCCCAATGCAGTATCTCCCCTAACCTTGAGCTGGAAGCTCTTTTTAAACGACACTTCACTCAGGTGGAATTTTATCAGGGTTCAGTCCTTAATCCCCATGACCTGGCAAGAGTGAAGGTAACAACTCTGTTGTTCTGTTCTCCTGCTAATTGACTTTTTAAGAAGTACTCGTATTATTTAGAAAAAACTCCACTAAACCTTTTCTTAATGTAACACCAAAAGACTTTTTCCATCTCTATTAGCTTACCTAATAAATTATAATAACTATCCTTATAAACCTTGCTTTCCCTATATCTTAAGATCTTCAAAGCTACAGTAACACTGTACATTGTCTGCAATTTCATTGAACTCTCAATGAATTTTTAATTGAGTTTAGTGAGTCTGATACATTAATATTTGATATAATAGAACACTTTCTTACAGTAAATGCTCAAAAATCTTTGTCTTGCCTTCATCAGAATGATTAGAAAATACTTTTTTCTCTGTCAAACACTTATTCTATTGTCTAGATTCCTGGGAGGAAAAAAAAGCAAAACAAAACCAACCAAAACCCAATCAAACCACAAAAACAAAGAACCCAAACCCAAAAAAAACCCCATACGCCTACAAACACCCCCCCACCCCCCAAAAAAAAACCAATTTAAGATTTTTGGTAGTTAAATGAGATGATTTTATTGTCTGTAATTCTCTATGGTAAATTATTTTGTACTCTTAAAGCAAAGCATGAAGCTTAAAAATAAAAAAAAAAAGATAGTAAGCTGTCAGATACAAGATTAACTTTTATGGGTTCCTCCCCTTTGCCCCCCCCGATGGAATGTAAACCAGTTACTTAAGCCAAGAATATTTTAGTCCAATGTTGACACTTTCTGAAGTACAAATCATGTCTTTTGTCTGTTTTGGCTGCAGAAATTGCTTAACCTTTTGTAACCCAACACACACTGTTTCATTTCATCGGAACAAAATGTTCTAATTATGACCATAAATGTCATAATTAGTGTTTTACCATAATTACCAACGTGTGTGTTGATATTTTGTGTTCTGTATTCCAACCTTTTTTGTGTTGGTATTTAGTTGTATACACTGAAAAATACTTTTGTTGTCTGCTTTGTGTTAAATAGAGTTAAGGTTTGTATGGACATAGAGGTCCTGTGAACAGATCGGTTCTCTTCCTCACGCTTTCTAAAACCGGTGCTCAGATTCTAAATCATCAGTTCAGCCACCTCTTCCTGTCTTTAATGGGAAGATACTGAAGTTCCCAAAGCTGCAGGACTTGAGCGAGCACTGTACTGGTATAACAGGAACTTCCTATGGATTTAGGCATCTAAATTTCAGTATCTGGTTACAAAAGATATGTCCATTAACAACTGAACTACTGACCTGGTTTGAAGATCATAAACAAGTTTCAAGAAATTGTGATGTGTATATGAAAGCTGTTATAATCACTCACATTAACTCACATTGTAACATTTTTGATCAGCAGTATTAAGAACTAACATTCACAATCATGGTGGCAGTGTTGGATTCCCGAGTTCTTTACGATGAAAGAAGAGCTAGAAAGAGATGTTGCTATTTATGTTTGCCTTTTCTTTGGTGTCTCAGATAGAGTCAGCAGATGCGTGCCTAATCCTTGCCAATAAATACTGCGCTGACCCAGATGCTGAAGATGCCTCCAATATTATGAGGTAAACTCATTAGTTTTTAATAGGTTTTTGGTTCTTAACTCTGATTAGCTGACTTGGTACTGTTAGTCATTTTGCAGGACCTGAGGTTTGAGTATTCATAGCTGAATGCAGTCCCAATAGAAATAAGTGGAAAGGGAATGCAGTTATGTTCTTGCACAAATATGCTATGCGTGTGCATGGGCTGCTGTTAATAATGGGACAGAATGACCCTTAGTCACTTCATATCTCATTGTTCCATGATATATCTGCTCTTGCAAGTAATTGTGCAGCTTGGGGAATAGTGAGGTATATGCTTCATGGTGGTGACTACATGGTGGTCTCCTAGCTGCAGCCTCCTTTTTTACACTGAGGACCAAATATTCTTATTTTGATTGACAAGGCACTTACACATTTGGAGCCAGATCCTGTCCTGCTTTCCTCCATATATTCTCTGAAGGAAGGAAATTAGTCTGTCAATAGACGACAGTTAGAGTTACAGCATACGTAAGCCATTCCATTTCTTGCGTTAAACTCTTAGCTTTAATGAGACTAGTTTCTCCTTTTTAGAATTAAAATGTCAGTGAACTGTTAAAAAATCTCTGATATACATGTGGCCAGTGTTATTAACCACTTCTACTGGCCTGTTAGATATTTGCATGCTGTGAATTGAAGGAAGGGGAGAAATAAATAAATAAATAAATAACTATAAATGCTCCTCTGGCAGAAGTTCATAGTGCACAAGAGATGTGTCTCTCTGTGGAAGATATAAGGCTTAAAAATGTCTAATTTAATTTTCCAAACATGACGTTGAATTGCAATGCAAGAAATTTTATTTTGACATTAATTGCATAAATACATTAAAAATACTCTAGTTGCAGATTAGTGCATTCTTAATAGATATATTTAATGTCATAAAATGAAAAGTGTTATTTTGGGAGTGGAATTCTCTTGTGTTTTCTCACATTTAAATTAATTTAATTAAACAAAATTGAGTGTTTAATTAACTAATTTAGCAAGAAATGAAAAATTAGAAGGAAGACTTTTTTCTCCTTCCAAAAGATAGTATAAATTTAAAACATGCATTAAAACTTTTTTTATCTGTTTCATGCTTATAGCTTTGATATGCTTCAAAGCACAAACCAGACGAGCAGTTTGCAAAATAATTCCAACAAAACACCAGTGTAAACAGTTATGGCATTCCAAGTCTTACGAGACTGATGACTCCATAATAATTCAGTTTATTTATTGTTTCAATTGTTTTTATCTTCTTTGTATACCTTTAGTTCCTATATACAGAACTGATTTTTTGACTCATTTTACTCTTTAATTTTATTTTTTTTTAATTTTTAAAATGCATATTCCTCTCTTCATAACACATGATCAATTCACTAATTTCTCAAACATTTTTCTTTCCAGCCACTTTTAACAGATACACAGTTGAGTATATCTTAGGTTCATTAAATAATTAAGAATGAAAGCAGGCAAGCTGCAGAGTATGAAAGTAGCCCCATATTCTATAAATTCAGTGTTCAGATATCAGTTTCAATATTGAGCTTTGGAATAACCCATAAAAATTAATATGAATTTACATGTAGATTTGTGTCAAACAAAATTGCTATTCAAGTTCTTTGAATACGATGAATGTCTAATAACTATAAATAAATGAGTTGCTGAAACAAGTCTCTTATTCTGCAATTTCCATAAGAGCAAACATTCAACTGAGTAAATCCTGAAGTCTGATGTTCTCTAGCATTAGCCAATGGTTATTAACGGAATTTATCTAGGAGTAAATATTGCATAGGTCTGACTTCAATCAGTATGCTTTACACCCAGATGAATAAGAGGGAACAGTTTTAATTGTGAGACTTGAAACTACAGTAAAGTAGAGGTATTGGAATACATTATCTAAATATCTCACTAACCAAAAGTTATTTTAATTGTTTCTTCTTTTTTATTTAGAGTTATTTCAATAAAGAATTATCATCCGAAGATAAGAATTATCACTCAGATGTTGCAGTATCACAATAAGGTAACATGATAACCAACAGTGTCTTTCCCCAGAGTTTTTTGCTACATTGCATTCACTCATACACAATTTTTAAAAAAAACAAACCATCATAATAAGCCTTGTTATGTAATCCACTTAAAAGGTAATTCAGTTTCATTTATAAATGTAAATACCTTATAAAAATCCTGACATTAATTAATTGTCTAGGGTCTAATTCTCAAAGCTACACTCTACACAGTTGCTATCGATTCCAGAAGAATCTCAGCTTCTATAAGTTTCGCTCAGCTTATTATACCAGAACTACCCAAGATGAATTGGTGGCATCTAGAGAAGTAATCTGAAGTAATTTTTTGTGGATACTGAAAAAAAAAAATGTCAACAGTTATTTTCTTATTGGAGTTTTATTGTGATTTTTTTGATTTCTTGCAACACAACAATGTAGACTTGAAATTGCCAAGTAGCAGGTACAAAATAAATACAATTACTTGTTTTTCCATATAAACTATAATGAAGTTGTCGAAGTTGTTGCTAAAAATATTGTGGAGATCAAAATTATAAATCCAATTTGGAAAGGAATTTGGAAAACTTTTGATGGTAAAACTGTTGTCTTTAAACACAGTGAAGTCAATTCATGCAATTCTGAAGTGAGAAAGTCCATAAACTGCTGGTTAACAAGGCTAGGAGGAACATCTTAGAGGACAGGCTACTCACATGCAACCTACTTCTTTTATTATTTCTAAAAGCATCAACCATTGCCCAGTGTTGGAGAAAAAACTTGTCTGGGTAGCCCTTCATTCAGTGAAAAGCACAATAATCCTGCTTTGACTTAGAAGATTTGAATGCTAACTCCTTACACCTGTAAACTTTCACTAGAACAGGAGAAATTAGTGTTGCTTGCGCTGTCCTCTTTCTGTACATGAATGGAAGGAGACTGTCTTTTTATAGAATAAAAGCAAGGTATTTCTCCCCTATAAACAGGTCCAAAGGGAAGATCTTCTAAATACTGCATTTTTCATTTGTATTTCCAATGATATCATTTTCAAGAATAGCTGTTATCAAAGTGCTAAACAGTGATATTAATTTATGAAGGGAAGCAAGTATGAAGGCCTTTGTGTTTCCTTATGTCTATGCAAATGTGCAAGGTAGATGGAAAAGAGAATCTGACAGAGTTATGCCAATAACTGAACAATATTAATGGCTATTTAACTGACCAGTGTTAATACTGGAGCTGTATCTTGATCAGCTGTTTTCTTTATTCCATCCTTGTAAATAGCAGTCTCAGGAAAAGGTTTGGATTTTCATAAAGTCAAAGTGCTATCCTTCAGGGTGGCAGGAATGACATAGAAAAGACAGAGGGTGATGCGTACCTTATTAAATGGCAGTGTCCTATAAAGGTTGCATCTTCACATGAGTTGTAATCTAAATTACGTTAGATTCCTGTGTACATTCTTTGCCAGTCAGAGAGTAGCTCCAAGTACTGTAAAAGGAATATACAAAAAGAATGAAAACTTCATAGCATTCTGTGGTTTGTTTAGGTGTGAGGATGGGCCTGGCAGTGTGTCACAGCCAGAATATGGCTTGAGAAATATAGCATTTTGTCTGTAATAGGTAAGATTGCAACATTTCTTTCCATACACTTCTGCCTCCTTAGAAAAAGTCAAGACAGTAACAAAGAAAATAATTCTCTTCGTAGTTCCTTCAATGAGGTGCTGTATTTGAGGTAGTATTTCTGGTTCTTCATCTATGGAGTATTTTGTTTGTTTGCTTATTTTTCAGGCCCATCTGCTAAATATCCCAAGCTGGAACTGGAAGGAAGGGGATGATGCAATCTGTCTTGCTGAGCTTAAGCTGGGTTTCATAGCCCAGAGCTGCCTGGCACCAGGCCTTTCAACAATGCTAGCCAACCTCTTCTCTATGAGGTCATTCATAAAGGTAATGTCTTGTCTCATTACAATGTACTAGTCTGCAATTCAGTTTGTCAGAGAGTCGAGTGAAGAATGTGAACCAAATATGAAACAGATAGGAACACATTAACAGAATTTGGAAGACAAAAAACTCCAGTGCATGCTTCCATACAAAAGTTCTCTCCTGCAAATTGGGCACTGTGTCAGGTTCTGTCAACTTAATGTTTTAATTTTTATACAGCAAGTGTTTGGCCTTCATATGACTTTTCAGAGCATCATCCATTTCTAGGTAGATATAGCCAATGTTTTGTGTTTTGCTTTGTTTTAGACAAACCACATGTTTATCTATGAGAAAAGCCCTGCTGCTAAAACAAAAATATGATTCATATTGTTGCTATATGTCCCGTATAGCAACCAAGTACCCAGAAAAATGGACTGATAATTTTGGTCTTTTATATCAAGTAGCTAGTGGACCTCTGACTGTGAGAGTACATAAGTAACGTGTTGGAACTGAAGCCTGAACTTCCTACAACGTCATTCCTGTGTTTCTCTTTTTTGTGCATTTGTTTGGACTTACATGGCAAAATGTTGACCCAGTTATTTCTAGACTTCTGTGGCAGCTGTACTAGTTCAATGGACCAAGGTTTTGATTGCAACAATCAGTACTTCTTTCTTTCTCAGGCCTTTCTGGGACACTGATTCCAAACATAAAGATGATCAGTTTCCAATCCCATGAGTGTTGTTAATGGGATGGGAAACACTGGAGTACAAGGTAGGCCATGGTCCCCTTCAAGTCCACTGTGCAAGCAAGCAAAAAAATGGCCTAATGTCATCAGGTGAGAAAGCCAGGGCTGTTCTCATAGAAGTGCATATGTCAGTGCAGGACACTGAGTCTTTATTTACTTATGAAGTCCTGAAATTCTTATTAAGGTCTCCTTTGGAGACTGCAAACTCCTGGGTGTCAAAAATATTTCAGACTATTATAGTAAAAAGAAAAAGTCAGTTTTCAATATGGAAACAAGCCTGGGCTCTGCACTTCCATTATTTCATTGTAACTGTCTGCAGTTCATGTTCTGAAAAAAAAACAAACCAAAAAAACCCAAACCTACCAAAAAACCCCCGAAAAAACAACTGTTTTGCTCACTAAAGCCAAACTTGGGAACTGTCAATGACTCATCAGCATACAATCACTTTGACATTAATCCTTTCCATTTATATCCCAAAAGAAAACTATATCTCTTAAGATACCTTAAGATAACTTTATCTTTTAAGAAGAATGAACTTCATTCTTCTCGCTCTTCAATTTGGTCTTTCTTAGTCTTGCTTGATGTAGTAACCCAACACTGTCAGAAGTCTCAAACATTGGTAGCAGCCACACTAATGTATCCGAACTACTGAGGCAACCTGTTCTATGAACTTGCTCTTGAAATCAGAAGTAGGCATGAAACTTTTGTTCAACTTCCATCTTTCCAAAATCAGAAGGGATCAGTTTTCTCGCATGGACATCCAAATATATGGGTATCTTCAGAAGCCCCAGTCTTAATTCAAGTTCTTTAAACTCACATCAAGAAAATGAAGAGATTCAGAAAGTGTTAAAGTGTACAAATGTCTGGCTATAGAGGAACTGTAGTGGAGCTGCGCACATTTATGGCTAGATTTGTAGATAAAATGTTTATACAGGTCAAAAACTGCAAATGTAAAGGTAGCATCTTTCTAGAAAATATACCTAACCACTTATATCATTATCTTACCCACCTTCTCTCCTGTATTTACTTATTGTGTAAGATACTCTTATAATAATTTCAGTACAGTGACAGATTGTACTATCTCAGCAATGAACGATTTTAAGATGAAAGCTCAGCTTTGCAAGGCACTACTCAGATTACATCTGAGTCTTTCTATATGCACAAAGCATAAAAATAGCAATGAATTTGATTTGGAGGAAGCTATCAATGTCAGTTTTGCTCTTGTATCTGTGATTATATATAGTTATAAACAGAATAGTGTGCAGACATACCTTGACTTCTGTTACTTCAGATGTCATCTTCAGATGGCACTGGGAGATGAAAGACCATAAAATAGTGCCTTGAAAGAGTGCAAGACTCATACTAGTATGGGTTAAAAAGATGTCTTCCACTTAACTAAGAATGAATTTTTCAGGCAAGTAAAATGTGTATCATAATTTCCAAAGATCTCTGTGTATATTAAAACTTCAGCAAAATAAATATACAAGAACTGAGATATATTTCTTCATGAGACTCCAACTCAATTGGCAACAACAAAAGGTTTGTTTCTTTATTTAGCTGAAAGGATATTCTTCCTCCAAGCTGTCTCACTCTAAAAAACTGTATTTGAAAGAGAAAATTAGTAATGAGCAGTGGCTATGAATCAGCAGCATATTGTAGGGGAGCAACTATTGGAATTGTTAAAGAGGGCTCTGTTGAACAGAAAGATATCCATTCCCTAAAAGAACTTCCACTCCTTATCATTTATAGTACTGAATTTAAGCGTTGTCAGACTTTCATAAATTCCTTGGGCAAATGTTATTAGTGGATTTGCCCGTAAGTTAGGGGATTGCCAGGAAAATGTACTGAAACTTCTTTATTTTTTAAAGAAAGCTTGAAATGTGTGTTTGTTACTCCTCCTTCATAGTGTGATTAGAAAGTGATTTAACATGGCATAAATGTTTGGTCAGTCAAACACAAATGAACATGATTGATGGTGACATTACACACATTTAACTCATTATGTGTTACAGCAAAAATTATTTGTGTAAACAGTCTGCCCAGTATTAGAGGTAAAACAAACTAAGAAACCTCAAAATACTGTATTTGTTCCTAATATTTTCCTTTTCATTTTAGTGATGTAATCTCATATGGATTCTTTTATGTTCTCTTTGGCATCAAACTGAACAAAAAGGAAATCAGCTCAAAAAGATTGAGGTTCTGTAAATGCTTAATGTAAGAAAGGTAGATTGCAGAACAAACGATATGTTAAGGAAAAAAAAACTTTACACTTGTAAACTGTGTTTCAATAGTCCAGTCTTTTTATAGCATGGTTATTATTGTGTTAATAAAAGAATTGGAACTCATTATTTGCATAGTCTTAGAAAAAGACAGAAATACAATACTGTACTGCAATTTCTGTATTGTTTGGATTAGCAGATGTATACCAGAAGTCTGTCCATCTGAAAAATATTGCAAAAAGCAAGTAAATGGAATAAAAGGCAGAGGCGGTCAAATTGTCCCTATATGCAACCATTCAAGCCAATATGAGTTAGTATTGTGTAAATTGATAAAACGTGGAATGTGATCCTGAGGTGTAACACAAGTCCACAGACAAATTACTTTTGTCTTTGCTCTGTTGGTAAGAGTGTACACCTCATTCTAGATCTGAAAAATTATCTAGAGCACTCTCGATTCTCCTCTAAGCTAATTTGAGAGCAGTAATGTTCTGTGGGCTTTTTTGGCAACTGTTGATCACACCCACACGTATGCAATGCCCGCTTCTCCCACTACATTGCTTTCCAGTCCAGGTTGAAAGAAGGATATAATAAAGCCATACAGATGTACATCAGTCAGGTGCTTACCTACACTGTTGAAATGCATCAAATGTCTTGATATTAACTTTTGGCCACCTAGGCAGCCATGAACGGTTTTAAAGTATGAGACTGGGGTATGCGCAGTGAATTCCTTCAAATGAAGGAGAACTGTAAAAGAGGGGTGGGGAGGAAATGCAACCTCTCAATTTATTGTGAGGTTCTTCAGGAGGCTGCATAATAAACTGATTACCTGACCCTTTTCACTGGATTTATACCAAATATTAATATAGCCTGTTGCCGAAAACATTTATTCTGTAAAAGGTCTGCCTGAATGTAATACTGTGTCTAGGAATTAAAAACTCTTGTGGTTTGCTATTTACAAATAGTATCAGTCCTTATGATAAGTCTGAAGTCTACCACAGAGTGCATTTTTCAGTCGATCATTTACACAGATCATTACCAATCTATCTTTTGAATTATGATTGGAAGGAAATACCTTCCTGTTTTGTAAATTTTTAAGTGTTAAAATTAGAGCCTGTATGCCTTTCAGTTCAAACCCACCAAGTCCAGCATCTAAAGAATTAGGTGTCATGATGTTTCAAGAATAGTCTCTCTGCTTTAACCTACTACAAAACTCTACATTAGTATGAATAATGAAAAAGTGCGTATACCTCTCATTTGAACTTAAAGCTAATCTTAATTAGCATATTTTATAGTTTATAAAGCATACTCTTTCATACCAATTTTAAAAAACATTATTGCAAACAGAGGGAACTGTGGGAATATTTTTCCAAGGTAAAATGTTTATACTGCTTTGATTGAAGCAGACAATGGAATTGAGTAAAGAGATAGTTCATAATTTGTAATACTTAAGAAAATTAAATTAAGACTGTAAATCTAAGACGCTTCACTCTGCTAGGAATGTATGAACTGCTTTCAGCCAATTACTTATCTGTCAGATTTTGATATCCATATCTAAATGCATAATAAAATGTGACATTCACTTGAGAAATTTGGGTGGACTGACAGGACATTATAGGTGAACACGAGGAAATGTTTAAAATATATTGCTTTCAGTGTACAACTTCTCTTCAACCACCAGTGAAGAATATTCTGTCTGTACTTTTTATTCTCATCTGTGTTTGTAGAAATATACCCACAATGCTGTAGAGAATTGTAAAATTAAACGTCAGGAACCCCTGGAAGCATTCTTAGCCTAGGGGGAGGCAGGAGTCTGCATTAGATGGAAGTAGATGAAAACAGCTTGGCAAGGGCTCAAGAAAATTTCCCCAGTGAAGAAGTTATTTTCTAGGCATTTTTTGTAAAACGTTTCTCTACATGGCCTTATGGTCATCTTTAAGGAGTAAATTTTACATGTATTTTAGAAAGGAACTATGTAACAACTTTCATGTTGTTTACACAATACTTTATTTAATTTTTTGGTACAAACCTTATAATTTTGGGAAGACTGTTCAGAATTTCCGAAT